ACACATATATAACCAGGAGCGATAACTATGAAGCAGCGCATAAAGACGAGACTGAAAATAGGAAAACCTTTATAGCTATATTCTGTCTGATTCTYTYGCAGACTCAATCCTATATGTTTGTCTCGTTTTTTCTTCTTACTGAGTATCGTGACCGCTGCATCGCTGCGCTGCATTACAGCAGTGTTTCATTTTTTCAAATCACACACATTCTAAGAAAGTTTTCACTACAAAATATTTACATACAACCAATAATAATAGAGCAATTTATAAATGAACAAATACCATGACGATTAAACACAAAAATGAAGCTGTAACACTTACCTGAATCTTACGCGATGCAGTGTTTTCCTGCCTAAAACAGATATTTATATATTTCGATGTTACCTTTAGCGTAACTGATAAGCAGAATCGTATTACTTTGCACCACTTTGACACATTTTTGATTATTATATTTTGAAATATACGAGTAACATGCGCTAGGTGCCGTCCGCCGTTACGTGAACTCCCCCTATATATTAAATATAGTAGTAATATATATTATGTATAAACATATATAGACTATTTCTTTAGAAAGCTGTGTAAGTCCATTTAAAAAAAATATATATATAACGTAATTTATGTTTATTTTAATGTAAACTTTTTATAGATTACTAGTCAATATTTAATTTCAWATAAAGAGCATATGTTTTCTACRATATAAATTTGGTCGGTAAAGAAAAATGATTAGTCTTTTATATGCAAACATTTAATTTTCTGGAAACAAGAGAAACTAGACTTGAAACACTTTCAAAATAAACGGTCGACATATAGCTTTTCTGTAGATGGCATTAGCGGCAAGTAGACGTCGAATACGKACATATAAGACAGCTKGGAATACTCTTTCACATTTTGTGAAGATAACTTGGTAGTATCAGTTGTTTACTTGTGTTTACATTATATATAGYTATTTCAAATTAGAAATGTCGAATTATGTAYYGACTAAACGTCATTTGCAGGAGGTGATRCTTTATTATTTYAATAGTAGAGAATTCGCCGGTGAAGCTCACCGAATGCTTATATACGCTTATGGCAACAGTATTATATCCCGTCGAACATGTTATAATTTRTATGAAAGATTCGARAAAGGTGATTTCAACATAAGCAGATCTACTAATAAACGACTAAAGAAAGAACAGCTAATTGAAGAATTAGTGCGTCTGAGACTTGAAGACCCCGGTATTACTCAAGCAGAGTTGGCAGCAAAAGTGGGAATAAGCCAATCTAAAGTTTCAAAATGCCTAAGAAGTCAGGAATATCAAAACNAAACACTTTCAAAATAAACGGTCGACATATAGCTTTTCTGTAGATGGCATTAGCGGCAAGTAGACGTCGAATACGGACATATAAGACAGCTTGGAATACTCTTTCACATTTTGTGAAGATAACTTGGTAGTATCAGTTGTTTACTTGTGTTTACATTATATATAGTTATTTCAAATTAGAAATGTCGAATTATGTATCGACTAAACGTCATTTGCAGGAGGTGATGCTTTATTATTTCAATAGTAGAGAATTCGCCGGTGAAGCTCACCGAATGCTTATATACGCTTATGGCAACAGTATTATATCCCGTCGAACATGTTATAATTTATATGAAAGATTCGAGAAAGGTGATTTCAACATAAGCAGATCTACTAATAAACGACTAAAGAAAGAACAGCTAATTGAAGAATTAGTGCGTCTGAGACTTGAAGACCCCGGTATTACTCAAGCAGAGTTGGCAGCAAAAGTGGGAATAAGCTAATCTAAAGTTTCAAAATGCCTAAGAAGTCAGGAATATCAAAACAAATTAAAAGAAAAAGAGCAGGAGACAAGTTTTATACCTCTTGGTAATATATATATGCATATACATAGGTTATTATATACTTAAGTAAATGTTATGGATGATATAAACGCTACAAGTCGGGTTATTTTTACTCAGAAAGAACTACTTTAAAAAGAAAACATAGAGAATTAGAAGAGGAAGAATCCCTGAACATTCTGGATGAAATTCCGCCTATAACTAATGACGAGATAGCAAAAGAACATGAATTAAGCATATCTAAAGCAGAAGGACTCAAAAAGAGTGTAGAAAACAGGCTGGAGTCAGGTTCTTAACCTAAAAGTAATATAATATATTAAATATTACTATAATATCATGTGTATTATATATATATATATATATATATATAAGACATTATATCTTTAAGTAAATGTTGTGTGTGATAAAAACGCTTCACGAAATGTAATTTCAACTTAGAAAGGCCTACTTCAAGAACACTATGTAGASAATGGGAAGATRAAGAATTAGTGMGTTTGCTCTMTGAAAACCCTGGTATACCTCATAGCGAAATCGCAAAACAATTGGGAATGAGCAAACGTATAGTTTCAAAGCGTGTACGCACTCAAGAAATACAAAGCTTATTAAAAGATAAAAGGCGTAAGCTAAGTTCTATAACTAATATATATAATAGTAACATAAATAATATAATAGAAAGTATAAATATATATCTATAATATTATATAATATCCATATTTTGTTTCTTCTATTTTTTGTTTGTTTGAAATAATTATAAAAATTAAGAAATAATATTAAACGACAGGAAAAATTATATATAATAGATATATACATATATAGGATTTGTTATCTCTAAGTACATGTTGTGTTCTATAAACGTATCAAAAAAAGTGATTTCATCTCAGTAAGACCTACTTCAAGAAGATCACGTMGAGAATGGGAAGATGGAGAATTAGTGCGTTTGCTCTATGAAAACCCGGATATACCTCACAGGGAGTTGGCAATACAATTGGGAATAAGCCAAACTACACTTCCAACTCGCATAAACAGTCCGGAAATACAAAACAAATTAAAAGAAAGAATGCAGGAGGAAAATTCTATACCTAAAAGTAATATATACATTAAATATTAATATTATATAATGCATATATGTATGTATATAATGAAAATGTTATTTTCTTATTGACAGCTTTGGAACATCAGTCAGTTTAAAATGGAAGGAATTTAAAGAAAACTTTTATTTTTTTGTTTGTTTTAAACCTATTTTGACACTTTTATTATAATTGTCAAAGTTTTTTTATGATTTTCTTTCTTTAGTGTATAATATCATATAAACCGTTACTAGACAGTACAAATAATATTGATTTACAAATATTCGCGTTTCACAGAATTCATTTTATATTTCAAGTACTGGATACATATAATATAATATACCTAATTTTTTTTCTTACTATTTATCTGAAAAAATATATTTCTTTTACAATAAAATTTACATTCAAAAGCAGTAAAATTGATATCAATTTATTCATTAAAGGAATAAATAATTTTAAAAATGATTAACCGTTTATATAAATTTTAAAATATTNTATATATATATATATATATCCGTTTGAGTGCTACGTGTCTTTGCTGGTTTTCCGTCCAAAAGTGCCTTCGGCGCGACAGCGCTTGTCTTATTCCCTCTCCAAGAATGCCAAGGAGCGCTATTGCGCTGTTTTCAGATTTATACTAGTATCATTTATTACTTTTACCTAAAATGGAGTGGTAACCGAAAAGTCGCGCATCGACAAAAACCGAGCGTTTCGCGGTTATCGGTTTCGCAGCCTAGAGCGTTGGCACTGTTCGAGAGACAGAGGAGAAGCGCAAAATCGCTCCGTGGCACTCAAACGGTTAAATATATATATGCATATACATAAGTTATTATATCCTTAAGTACATGTTGTGTATAGTATAAACGCTTCAAAAGATGTGATTTTAACTTAGAAAGACGTATTACAAGAACACCACGCACAGAGTCGGAAGATGAAGAATTACTGCATAATATGGATGAATTCCCGTATCTAACTCCAGACGAGTTAGCAGAAGAAAGTGGATTATGCATATCTATAGCTCAATCGTTCATAAACAGTATGAAAAAATATAACAAATAAAAAGTAGAAAGACGTAAGCAAAGTTCTATATCTAATAGTAATATATATATATTTATATGTAGGGAAATCAATTGTTCTGTATCCGGCTAAGGATATTTAATTCCCCCGTGTTGCCGACACTACTTGAGTTATAAAAGATATTCTTTATTCTCACAAATTATGGTTTATTACAATTACAATTACCATTACAATTACAATTACAATTACAATAATGCTTCGCAACCTTTCGCACTTACTCACTACTCACACGCTACTCACTCGCTACTCACTCGCTACTATCTATTCGCTATTCTCGCTCGCTCTGGTCACTCGGTTCCTTCCACGCTATTCTCGAAAAAAAAACAACCATTGACGCATGACCGTCCTCTCCTTATGAGGTTTCCCCCCACCTTTCATCCCCGAGGGACAAAACATCTTCAAAACGCTCTCGAACCTTTGGACCCACACCGACTTACACATACAAATGATCTCGAACCTTTGGACTCACACAGCCTTACACACACACCCTACACTCGCCCCCCCCCCCTGAAAAAGGATATCTGGCCTCAGATATTCGTTCCCTTCTTGTCGACACAACAGTTCACGCTACACATACATACTCACATCCTTTTCTCGCTTCGCGTTCTTCGACTCTCACCCACATAATACACTTCTAATTCATTCAATCGCTCGCATATTACAATAAAACCGTAGGAAGTCTTACACAACTACACAATGCTACTATTAATAATAATAAATCGAATAAATAACCTTATAATTAAATCATGCAAAAACTAATATTACTACACAAACAAAAATGGTCAATCAAATATTAACTCAAGAAGAACGAAAATTACCACTAAGACTACTAACATTTTATTCCTTAGCGCTTTCATACACTTTGAACTACGTAAAGACCATTTCGCAATGTTTTTCCTATTTTTATCTCTTACTACTACTTTAGGGGTCAAAGTAATAGCACTAGTATATCCTCCAACCTTGTCCTTACCGCCACCTTTCTTATCACCGCTTCCAGAAGCTTTTCTGTTTTCATCCTAATCTTCGTCAATATCACTGTCACTAACACTTTCCTTACTAGCAGAAGAATCCTCCTTACGCTTACTGGATGTTTTCTTAGTTGGACTTCTCCTTGCGGGCTTCTTTTCCTCTTCCCTTTCTTTTTCCTCTGAATCTTCTTCCTCTTCATCCTTTCTGTCATCTGATCCTTCATTGGCGGCCTTGTTCCTTTTCTTTTCGCCGTCTTGCTTTTCTTGTAAACACTCTATGACTAAATCATCTACTTCCTCTCTCCTTGCTGTGAGATTGACATCTAATTTTTTTTCTATCCGTTTTTTTACTTTCTCCGTTAACATTGTAATGAGATCTGCATCTTTTAAAATCGCGGTGGCTTCCCTACGAACCTCGTCCTTAGAGATATCAGTCATTGCAGTTCCCCTCGACGTGCGTACTGCCACCGACGAAACCACGCTCTCCTCAATTTTAGAGGCTTCTAAATAAGATAGACCTACGCAGCCCTCTGAGTCGCAAACATTTACGTTAAATACGTTCGGTAGATCACCATCCGTTGGTTGCGCTTTGCTCGAACGTCCGATCTCTATGTTTCTCGACTCCACCACCAATCTCACGCTTTTTAGAAAATTCGCCCCTAAGATAAGATCATGTCGCACACACGAATTAGATACCAAATGTATTCTAGTTTCATACGCTTCCCCGTCAACCTCGATTGCTGCCGTAAAATGACCTAGCGTTTTAAACAATCCTGAACCCACACCTCGGAAACAGACGCGTTCATTTATTATGCGCGGAACTCCGATCTCAGCGTAGGCGCTTTTTCTTATCAACGAGATCTGGTTACCCGTATCTATTAGGGCAGGAATCTCCGTATTGTTTATCGCAACAGCTTTTTTCAAAAACTGATCATCTGCCAAGGAATCCCCACTTACCCGAACAACCGCTACTGATGGTGTCTTTTTAGGACACCCGGCAGAAATGTGACCGAATTCCAGGCAGCTGTAACATCTCATACCCTTCTCCCTCGATGGACAGAACGCCGCTCGATGTTCCCTCGCTCCGCAGTTTCGGCAACCTTCGAAAATCCGTTGTTGTTCACTCGAGCTCTGCTGCTTTTCCTCACTCGTTCCCCCCGGCCTTCTCCATACTCGGCTAGCCACGGAATCCGTCGGCAACTGTATCTTCTCGAACGCACTAAAGAGCTCGGATCTGTCTCGGAATCCCCTGATTTTCGTAGTGTTCTACAAAGTAATATCTGGGATTCCTTAGATCAAATGTTCGATCAGCTCTTTCTCACTAACGGACGCGCAGTTTCCCAAAATCACCTTATCATGGAAGTACTCGCTAAAACGTTCACCATGCTTCCACTGTCGCCGCAAAAACTGCCTTTTCCTATCAGCCCAAGAAGGGAGATGTCGAAACATCTTCTTTATGTCATATAACAGTTCCTCGTTCGTCATGTCAGCATACTCTGCTCTCGAGTGAAACCATTCTGCAGCTTTCCCTTTTAAACGTAGCCTAACTAGCACTGTCGCTTCTCCGTCCGATAAATGGTGTATCCTTTTTAAGGCAAGGAACTGCCGTTCCCAGTGATCGTAGGGAGTCTTACCGTCGTAATAACTAAGCATCTCCGCGACCTTCGTCAATCCTATCCGCGGGCGACTTAATTCCTCGTGCATTATCGCGACTGAATTGCGTTCCACCGTAACTTTGTTCTCGACCGGAGCAGTCATTAATAGTTGAGGGAGCTTCTCATTTTTCTGCTGAAGCTGTTTTATCTCCTAACGAAGCAAACTATCTCGTTCCTCAGCGGTCGTGGTTGCGCCGCGGAGGGTAGCCCCGTAGTTCATGTCCTTTCCCGGAAAGATTGCATGCGCTTCATCCTGAAGCTCCTCTCCCGAATTTCTCAAAACTCGCACACCGCTTAATTCAATGTCCATTAGCCTTGAAATCAGCTCCGTTTTCGAGCCTACCGTGGGTTGGTTCAATTCCCAAAGCCGCTCATTAAGCTGCATCACCGTTATTTAATATATATATATATATTTAATAAAAATATTACTTTCATTTGAAATCGGCGGAATATAAAGAAAAATTTTATTATTTTTTCGTTTTTGTTGTCTGTTTGTTTGAAACATATTTTCAAACTTTTATGATCATTATCAAAGTTTATTTATGATTTTTTTCTTCAGTACATAATATTTCATAAACCGTTACTAAGTATAACAAATAATATTTATTTACGAATTGTCGTTTCATAAAATTCATTTTAAATTTGACGTGCTTTATACAAATGATACAATATACATAATTACTTTTTTTTTTATCATTTATCTGAAATAATATTTTTCTTCTAGAATAAATTTTCTTTTGAAAGTAATTAAACTGATCTCAATTTATTCATTAGAGAATAAATAATTTTAAAATCGATTTTCCGTTTATTAAAATGATATGAATTGGAAATGAATTTGAATTTGAAAACATTGGGTATCGATTATTGTTTATAAACTTTATCAGTAATGATATACAGAATAATTCTTTTACTCATTGTGTATATAAATATTTATCTTATTTGTATCTCTTTTTCTATTTAAAATATAGATTTTACTGTACAGCGTAAAGAACTATTTCTATTTTGTACTATGGGACTGGATAATAAGAACATTACGTGATTAATACCTAATCCGTTTTGAAAATTAGCAGAATAATTAATATACAACAAATAGTAATGGAGCCTTTTGTAGATGAACAAATATCATATTGACTAAAGCACAGAAATGTAGCTGTAACACTTACCGAAATCTTAGACGATGCAATGTTTTCCTGCTGATAAATGAAATCGACCGATGTTGCCTTGAGCGTCACTGGATAAACTGGATCATATGACCCTGCACCCCTTTCACCTGTTTCGATTAATATTTTTTGAGAAATATGAGAAGCGGACGCTAGAAGAAAACCTAAAAAATTATTTGATTTGTTTCTTTTATGTGTGGAATTGAGAGTTTTCCGCATTTTAACTATCTAATGAACACATTAACCGTTTCCGTATCGTTAAAGTATCATTAAAGAAGATTTACTTACTGTAGAAATATTTTTACGTCAACCAATAATAAAACAATTCCTTGATACTTGAAAGGGTTTCTGAAAATGTCAGTGCTAATTGAAATGTACCTCAAATATAGATATGCTTATCTTATAATCTTTTGACAAACATAAAATTATTATATTTATTGTAAATTTATTTTTATAATTGTAAAAATAATGCACTAATTTTTTGATAATTCGATTATTTAACTTTATTTTATGAATATCTAAAATATAATTTATTTTAAACATTATTTTATTTCTATTAAAAATCTTTTTTTTTTTAACCTAAATTATCTGCATATTACTCAAAGATAATTTTCAGGATAAATGATTTCCTCACTTATGTATTTTTATAACAAACATAAAAATATTTTTTCATATCATTATATTTTTGGTGCAGTTTCTTTCTAATGTGTTATTAATAAAAAATGATTCGTTTCATTCTGAAGGACGCAGCAATGTCCTTTACGGTGTTATGCCTAGTTGCGAGGCTCAATAAAGACGTCTTTTTATGAATTTTTTATAGAAACAGTTTTTATTTATCAATTACCAGCTATGGGTATTCAAATAGAGCTTTCTTTTGAGAATACAATATCGCGTCGATCATGTAAAAATATTAATGTTCACCGCTCCTGTAGATGATCTCTCGAAGGACCTTTAAAAAAGGAGCTTAGCGTTGATCTCCGTCTCAGCAGTTTGGATTATTTGAAATCAAAAACTGTTGTCGATTCTTTTAAACAATAGATCAATGCAGGAATTGGAAGAATGTAATAGTAAATATTTTGAATTTTGACAAAATGGCGGGTATTAGAAAAATGTTTCGTTTTTGACTCAAATTTTCCTTTCAACATAATTTAAAAAAAATATTAGTAAATTTTAAAAATTTGTATTCAAACTGCGTATAAACCCTTAAATTAATGCAATTAAACAATTTTATAATATTATATACTTAATTTATAAGCTCAAAAAACAAAGTTTTTCCAAATAAAAAATTTAAAATTTTAAAAATTAAAAATTTGTTTTTCAATCAAATAAAAAATATTACAAACTAATTCGGCCTACTCTGGGACTGGTAAAGATAATCGCAGAGATAGTAATAGTTTTTTTTAGAAAATAAAAAAGAAAATGCAAAATTGCGAACTTCGAGAATATAACGGATTTATTCAAAAAATGCGAAAATTTCATGGATATTTTAGTTTTAAAATTTTAATAATATGTTTTTCTTAAATGTCCATATAAAAGCATAAATTTGAAAAATGATTACGTCCCAATAGGTTAAACTTTGAAAAAATTATAGCCGTTTTAAATAAAAGATCCATTTTTTTCCAAAGTT